CCCCCGGGCCCCCCCGCCCGGCCCCCCCCACCGCCCCCACGCCACGGGAAAGGGGCCAGAGCCAAGGCTGCCACCATAAATCTCCCCGGCTGGCGAGGTTCCCGCTCCCGGGGGACAGCAGGGCCCCCCCGCTGCTTTGGCAGACGGGGGTCCCACGTCCCGGCAGGCTCCTGGGGCATGGTGGGGAGGGGGCAATGTGTGGGGCTGGTCCCAGGGCTCCTCTGACACCTGCGCTCCACACCATTTATTGGGGGGACAACAAACACGGAGACGGGTGACGGTGGGCTGGGAGGAGGGGGCGGCGCGCGGCGCCCTGGGGGCCTGGGCAGCCCCCGGCCCGGGAGCGGTGCAGTAAGGCACGAGGCCAGGCCAGGGGAACCGGGCAGGGTCCCGGCCCGGGGGGGAGAGGGCACCGCTCGGGCAGACCCCCACAGCCGTGGTCCCAGAGCCCCCCTGGCCAGGGGGCAGGGGCTGGCGTGGGCACCGGCAGCGGCCCCGGCGCAGGCAGCTGCAGGGCCCGGGGCTCGGGGCCAGCCCGGTGCGGACGAAGGCAGAGAAGCCCTGTGCTGCCCGCGGCGGGGTGCAGCCCGGCCAGCCCCCCGGGGCAGGGACCCAGTCCCTCCCGGTTATTTGGTGCTCTCTGGCCGTGTGCGGGCACCCCGTGGGGGGTCTGAGCCCCCTGGCCAGCGGGGTGCTGGGGAAGGGCACGGGGGGTGGCCGGGACCCCCGTGCCGGGGGGGGGCTCAGAAGGAGGTCTCCTGCAGGGCGTAGGCGGGGGCCCCAGCCCCGCGGATGTAGCCCTGTCCCTCCTCCTCCTGCCACCCAGGGCCGGGGGGGCCCAGGCCGTTGGCCACCCCATTGCTCTTCACCGTGGCATCCATGTGGTCGGCGTCCTGCGGGGACAGAGAGGGGGGCAGCAGGAGCACGGAGGGGCACCGACCCCATGCTCCCCTCCCCAGGGTGCTGGGGTCTGGGTCCCTCACCTCAGCAGGGAAGCGCACCCCGCAGCAGAGCCTCTGCCGGTACTTCTGGGGCAGGCAGCAGAGCAGGCGAGGCAGCACGGGGTAGATGGTGCGGGGGTCCACGGCCGCTGCCGGCATGGGACCTGGGGGGCAGAGCAGAGGGTGAGCGAGGGGGGCCCTGCCGCCGGCCCCCCACCCCCCCACACTCACCGGTGAGCAGGCTGACCAGGAGCCCCACCAAGATGACGGTGGTGGAGTTGTGGGCGCTGTACCACATGTAGGACAGGCTGTAAAACTTCTGCAGCCCCGTGGGGCTGGGGAAGCT